GGTGTTTGGTGGTTTGACTCGATGCTTTGGTCACGCCATGATGGGGTAAATAGTATCCGTTGTTGTCGGAGTGGTTGACATTGACCTTCGTCATGTGCCCCAACGCCAGGTATTCCTGTATTACCGTTCGATATTCTGATTCGAAGCGTTTGTCGTGTTGGAATCGGCGATTGAGTGCGGGGAGTCGTTTAATTGCCAGTGTTTTAGAGAATCCGAATGACTGAAGCTGATCGTTGAATGGTAGAGCGACGATGTATCATCCTAAGCTGGTGCGTCGGATGTGGGCTTGAAAGTGCTATTCGCATCGTCGGTCTGCCGCTGAGATGCGTTTAATCGAGGGTCCTTCGTCGATTTCCCAGAACCGCGCGAGGTCTGTTTGTAGACTCGTCGTGGATGTGTGAAATGTGTTTGTCGCGGTTTGGGAAGTTGGGCTCCCCCCGATTACCCATCCGAATCGCGTTTTTTGCAGACGCAGTTCAGGCTCGTCTGGCTGCGTTAGATTGATTTGTCCCATACACATGGACGCGAGTGTTGAACCTGAGCTTAGTAGCACGTCGATCGAAGCTGATAAATGAAATCGTGGATCGGCCAATTTGAGATTTTTTGGTATCTCAAGTGTCGACCGATCGATGGGTTCGCTTGGAATTAAGGTTGATATGGTCGGAATGACAAGGAACGTTAATGTCCGTGTGTATGTGCCGTTAGTGGAAGTGATCGTAGCCGTGATGTGTCGCTTAGAGGTCGTCGCCAAGGTATCTAGAGCTCCGATTGGGACCGAACATTTGTTTTGTTTTATTTTGGAACATTTGTTTTGCCTTATCTTTAGCGATTTTGCTAATTCCTCGCTAATGAAATTCATACTATATCCGGTATCGAGCAACGCTCGACAACGGATTGGTTGCTGTTTATCATTCAAAACGTTAATCTGCGCTGTGACGACTAGATCATTGGATAATGATTCGGATGGTGCTGGTCTGGTATGTTTGGTCGTCAACGGAGTCGTCAATCATCGGCGTCATTGGTTATGTTTTCGTCTGTCACTGGGACGTGGACTTGGAGACGCGGCTGTTCGTGGTGTTTCCGATCTGTGGTCTGTTGTGTGCCTTTTGCGACGAGTGGGTGATGAGTAGGGTGGCAAGGAGGGTGTTGTGGATCGGCTATTTGATGGGGAAGATTTCGGGCTGGGCGTGCTGGAACGAGACCCTGAATGGTGTTTTGCTCTATGCAGCAACGTATGATGTCGTTCACCGCAGACGCGGCATGACCCCGCGAAACAATGCTTTTTTGTGTGCCGTTTCCCGAGGCAGTTGAGGCATAGTGATGCTCCTTTGACCTCCCGAATGCGTTCGCGAAAGGATTTGGTTTTGAAGGTGTCACACCTCCAAATGGGGTGTAGTCCTTGACAGGTGGTGGTCCTTGACAGGTGGGGCATGTCGGGGTAACCTGTGTCGCCGTAAATGCATGCCCTCGTGGTGCGCGTTGACGGACCGGAGTGGTTTGTTCCGGTGATTCTCTTGTTTGTTTGACCGTGGTGATCGGTGTGGTGCTTCGTGCTAATCTCTCTAGGAAGTTCAATAGCTGAATGTACGGTGGCAGCTCCTTATTAGGCAGCGTCATTTTCCATTGTTTTTGGATGCTTGATGGGATTTTCGATAGAATGAGGCTGTTAAGTACGGCGCTGGTATCGGGGTAAGAGTCTCCTAATTTGTTTAACGCGTATATGTGCTGTTTGAATGTATGGACTAAGCGCCTTAATTCCTTTGGAGATTCTTTGGTTAACTTTGGATAATCAATGATTGCCATGCCGTGACTAACAGCTGTGTATCGTGGACATTCGAAACTCTCCTTAAGAACCGTTATAGCCTGGCTGTAGTTTATATTACTAAGGGGTAACGCGTTTAAACAATCTGCTGCTTCTCCTTGCAGGGCGGACTGCAGGTAATGAAATTTCTGTACTTCCGTGAGATTAGAATTTTTATCGATGGTGGAAGAAAAAGTGTCATAAAACGTGTTCCATTTCTCTAAGCTTCCGTCAAAAGTAGGGAGCCGAAGATCTGGTAATTTACCAGCTATCGGATTTAAACTAGCGAATGATGCACAGGTTGGAAGGTTTATGGATGTCGACGGCGATGCTACTTGCGCGTTGCTCAGAAGATTTTGTAGCTTTATGTCTACCGCGACGTACTGATCCCTTATTTCGAAGCCGCGCGCTTGTTCCTCCCCGTCTAATACTTCTAACTCGAGGTGGATCGCTTCGAATTGACTCGCAGCTTCGGTCAGTTGTTTCTCGTAGTTCGTTAACAAGGAGTTTTGCTGACGCCCGGATTGTTCGTACTCGTCCAGTCGGTTCGATACGTATGTGAATCGGCCGCTACAATAGCCTCGTCTCCGACGCAGGGAGATGAGTTGGTCTTCGCTTGCCATCGTTGCCGAGGATAGGAGATGGTCGATATAAGGAACGAGCTTACCTTACTGTCGTGCGGCGTGAGGTCGCGCGTATGCTTGGCGAGGAACGCCTCGTTCCTTCCCGACGGCCACTCGTTTGGTTGTGTTGTTAAGTTATGGAATTCGTTGGTTTGATGTTCGTCCAGCTGTGGCGGGAGCCTGCGTAGTTGAGTTCCTTTGCCAATGGGTTGTGCTCCTTCGAATGTGACACTCCTGACGTCACTGGCTTCGATGTGGTGATAACACTCTCGCTGCTGGTTTAATGTATTCACGTGGCACTGTGTGGTCACTGGCAAGTACACCTTTCACTGATACGTGATCCGGCTCGAACGACCAAAAATGTTTCGACCATTCGCACGTCAAGTGGAGTCGTAAATTCCCGTTACGATTGGATAATCGACGCCATGAAATGATCAATCCCCTGATTTCTGTTGCGATAATAGGGATGGTTGAATTGACTTTACACTGAATTAACGGATATAATTAATGTTTATTCCAACAACTTCTTGACTAGAAATATACAATTAAAGTCGATTGATAACTAGAGTAACAAGGTGTTGTACGCGACGCACGCTTAGATGTTGAAAGTTCAAAAAATGTATAAAGACTGACTTTCTGTAACGATGATGCAGCGGAGGACACTTGCGATGGGTGAGTCTAATGATGCGAGAAAAGCTGATTTGTTAAGACCAAGTTCTTGTTGAGAGAGTGAGGGAAAGACTTCTTTGGTAATTGGTTAATTTTCTGGATTGGTGTGGAAGGATGGAGGAAGGGTGTTAACAGCGCCCCGAGAGAAAGTTGCTAGTGTGAAACATCGTACATGAGAAAAACGAACTTCTATCTTTCCGTAATAAACAATAACCTTTGGACAGTGACTTAGTGCAGATGTTTGGTTTGGTCTGAAGGACCTTAGAAATTCCTAAGATTTATGATCGGCTCTTAAGACTATTGAAGGTTCGCAGTGAAGGCGTGCGGACATCTGGTTGCCATCCTGTCAGCGGTGTGTGGCCTGGTCTAAGTAGAATGTCGCCCGACGTAACAAAGTTTGTAATGATCTAATTTGATTTTTGGCCTCAGTTCCTTTTAGTCATAGGTCTCATGCATCTGGTATGTGAAACACGCAACGATATTGAATTATTCTCAACGAATCTCAGCCAGCTCGATACACCACTTATTCTTTCGTCTAACCAATAAAGCTATCAGTTCGTGCACGTTTCCTTGACTATGGCCGTTCAGATGGATTGAAGAGTAATTGAACTTGACTCTTCATCTATGTGTCGAGGTCTGTCCTTGAATCTTACAGCAAGTTCATGGCACAGGCGTGCAATAAATCACCGTGACTTGATAGACTATAGCCACGTCGTGAATTAACCGCGAGAGCCTCAGTTCCCCTTGTATTTTACAGCGAAAGAGCTTTTGCCTATCGAACGAGCGTCGCCTGCCAGGAGAATCTGATCGATCGATAAAAATTCAAAGTCGATCGTCGCAGTGATTGCATAATCTTCGTGGACGTGTGACAAATTCACTGGGGATGGTTTCTGAATTGTATCAGAATCGTTCGTTAACATTAAAACTATTTACGAATTTAATACCTACAAAGTATAATAGTTGTACCAAAAAATTTAAATGATATATGGGAAAATATATAATTTTTAGAGAAAGAGCAAGTTTTTATTTGTATACTTTACATAAAATAATTTGAACCGCCTAAAATGC